CCCATTTACCTTCGGATCAATTTCAAAATTCTCATGTATGTTTTTAAATCACTGAACAGTTCCGCCCCATCCTATCTCACTGATCTTCTACAGCCATATGTCCCATTGCGCTCTCTGAGGTCAGCAGACCAGATGCTCCTTTCAGTTCCAGAAACCTATCGCAAGCTCAGAGGTGAAAGGCTTTCTCTGTTGCAGGTCCAAGACTGTGGAATGAGTTGCCACTACATGTCAGGCAGGCTCTCACACTCACAGTCTTTAAGTCTCGCCTGAAAACCCACTTTTATTCCCTTGCCTTTGACACGATGTGATTTGTTTTGATCCTGTCTCTAGTCTACAGTTTTGGCAATTTAGTTATTATCCACCACTATTTGTATTTATATTTTTATTTTGTTTTCCTCTCCACTGTGCTTGTTTGATTCTATTGTACAGCACTTTGGTTGGCCTTGTTGCTGTTTTAAGTGCTCTATAAATAAATTGGTATGGTATAACAGCATTGTAAGAGGGGGACAGTTGACCACGGAGGCTTCCACCCCTGTTTAATGATGGACGGTTTCTTTTCACAAAGATGGTCTCCTTTATCCTGATTCATGCTCAATAATCCAGGCAGAAAAATCCAACAAAGTTGTATCTGGTCGTCTGGACATTCAAAAAAAAAAAAAAAGCAAAAACAACAACAACAAAAAATGTAGAAACGTTTCGTCTTTCATCTGAAAGACTTCCCCAGTCTGAGGTGCTGTATTCAGCTCAGTCTTATAAATAGCACCTTCTCAAAGTGGATCAACCAGTTTTGGTGCTGACAACCAAAACCAGCTGCTCACATGATCAAGAAGGACCATCAGCCTAACAATGGATCATTAGCACCTGATGGCTGTTTACTATTCACAGAGGGCTGAGTGATACTAGCAATCACAGCATTGTAAGAGGGGGACAGTTGAACCTGGAGGCTCCACCCCTGTTTAATGATGGACGGTTTCTTTTCACAAAGATGGCCTCCTTTACTCCTCTCTCAAACCATCGTTCCTCTCTATCCAGGATGTGAACATCTTCATCCCTGAAAGAGTGATCGCTGGTCTGGAGATGAGTGTAGACCTCAGAGTCCTGACCTGATGATGTTGCTCTTCTGTGCTGGTCCATCATTTTGGCCAGTGGCTGCCTGAAGACTGCCACCATCATCCCAGTCCCAAAAAGCTCTACAGTGACTGGTCTTAATGACCATTGGCCAGTGGCCCTCACCCCGATAGTCGCTAAATGCTTTGAAAAACTGGTCATGACTCACATCAAAACAACCATCAAGATCAACGAGGACCCTCATCAGTATGCATACCATGAGAATCGATCAACAGAGGATGCCATCTCCTCTGTGGTCCACACTGTGCTCAACCACCTGGAGCAGAAAAACTCTTATGTCCCTATGCTCTTTGTGGACTTCAACACCATGATCCCCCAAACCCTGCTGGACAAACTATTCACACTAGGACTAAGCCCCTCCATTTGCAACTGGGTACTAGACTTTTTAACAAACAGACCACAGTCAGTGAGTCACCCTCCTGACACTGAACAGCATACACAACATTACTCTGTTTGTGCCGGGGGACTGGATCTTTGGGATGAACCAGTCTTTAATGTATTTTGGGGTTTAAAAGCCACTGGGACGTTATGTTTAGAAAATAAACGTCTCAGTTTCTCTGATACTCCCTCAACATCTGGAATGACCACTGGTCTGGGTTCCTCCTTTTCACCTGATGCTGACTGGAGTCCTGTTTGGGTTTCTTCTTTCAGGAAGGCCCAGTTAGGATATCCACATTGCTCTAGAGCCTGTCTTGTGTCTGTTCTCCTTCTGCCTGGCTCCTGAGCTAGTGGGGATGCTGTCTGCTCTGTGGTACAGAGTCCTGATGACTCCCAACTTGTGCTCCAAAGGGTGATGGGAGTCAAACTGCAAATACTGGTCTGTGTGGGTGGGTTTGCGGTACACCTGAGATTGAAAATGTCCTCCATCAGAAACTGAGACCTCACAGTCCAAGAAATTCCATCTATGTTTTCCTCTGTCTTGCAGAGTAATGCATTAGAGAACAGTGACTTAGATCATCTAGATGATAAATTTACAACGACTTTGCAATCTTCACTTGATAAAATTGCTAAAATAATAGTTACGTACTTTAAAGCAGCATCTAGAAACCAGGAGAGAAAATGGTGCTCCACTAAGGTTGAAGAATTTTTTTTAACTCGGAAAGGTAGACTGCTAACATGTAAGAGAGCTCTCCGTAAAGCTGGAACTTTATATTATTCATCTTTATCAAAGGTTTCTTCCTCTTGAGGGAGTTTTTCTTTCCACTGTCGCCTTCATGCTTGCTCAAGATGAGGATTCTGTGATGGAGTTAAATTCAAAGCAGTCTGCTCAGATAAATAGTCATATTATTATTTTTATATATGAATGTTTCTGTTAACTTAGGAATGTTTCTGTTCAGTGCCCTGAGATGACTTCTGTTGTGACTTGGCGCTATATAAATAAACTGAATTGAAATTGAAATTAATAGATGAGAATAAAAATAACCCTAGGTTTCTGTTTAGTACTAT